AAATTCAAAACTATTATATATATAAATATTTAATATTATGTAACCAACAACCTATAAATAGAACAAAAAACTACAACTAGAATTCTAAACAAAAAAATAAAAAAAAACAAATCTAACTAAAAAAAAAAAATAAATAGCAGTTAAACATGGTCAAGAAATTGGCACAAGATATAAAAGCCACCCAAAGCTTGAAAAATAATTCTGGACGAAGAAGCGATGAAGAGAAACCCGAAACTATCTAGAAAACAAGAGAAAGTGGTAGTTAAATGTTGTCGAGAAATTGACACAATATATAGTATCCACCCAAAGCTAAAAACATAATTTCAGATGAAGAAGTGATGAAGAGAAACCCCGAAACCTACCAGGAAAAAAAGAGAGAAGGTGGTAGTTAAATGTGATCAAGATAGATAGTAGCCACCCAAAGCTTGAAACATAATTTCAGATGAAGAAACGATGAAGAGAAACCTGAATCCATCTAGAAGGTGATAGTTAAACATTGCCAAGAAATTGATACAATATTGAGTAGCTACCCAAAGCTTGAAATATAATTCCAGATGAAAAAGCGATGAAGTGACAAAGAAAAAACTTGAAACCCACCTGGAAAGAAAAAGAGAAGGTGGTAGTTAAACGTGGTCAAAAAATTAAAACAATATATAGAAGCCACCCAAAGCTTAAAACATAATTCTGGATGAAGAAGTGATGAAGAGAAACCTCGAAACCTACCTGAAAAAAAAAAGAGAAGGTGGTAGTTAAACATGGTCGAAAAATTGACACAATATATAGAAGCTACCCAAAGCTTGAAAAATAATTCTAGACGAGGAAGTGATAAAGAGAAAACCTGAAACCTACCTGGAAAAAAGAGAGAAAGTAGTAGTTAAACATGATCATAAAATTGACACAATAGATAGAAGCCACCCAAAGCTAAAAACATAATTTCGAACAAAGAAGCAACAAAGAGAAAACCCGAAACCTACCTGGAAAGAAAGAGAGAAGGTGGTAGTTAAATGTAGTCGAAAAATTAACAATATAGAGTAGCCACCCAAAGCTAAAAACATAATTCTGGATGAAGAAGCGATAAAAAGAAACTCCAAAACCCACCTGGAAAGAAAGAGAGAAGGTGGTAGTTAAATATGGTCAAAAAATTGGACACAATATATAGAAGCTACCCAAAGCTTGAAACATAATTCTGGACAAAGAAGTGATGAAAAAAAAACCTGAAACCTACCTGGAAAAAAAGAGAGAAGATGGTAGTTAAACGTGGTCAAAAAATTGACACAATATATAGAAGCCACCCAAAGCTAAAAATATAATTCTAGACGAAGAAGCAACAAAGAGAAAACCAATGCTCTCTAATATATTTTACAGATTTTTCAATTCTTTAATACTAGTTCTCAGATCATCTTTACTCAATTTATTATTAATATTTATCTATTAGGAATTTTGGCTTATATTTTTAATTGGCCTTCAGGATGCATTTTCTTTTTCAATTGCTTAGCAATTATTCCCTTAGGAAATTTGTTAAGTTTTGTTACTGAGGATATTTCTTTAAAAGCTGGACCAGCTATCGCGAGGTTATTAAATGCTACTTTTGGAAATGCAACAGAATTAATTATTTCTGTTTTTGCTCTGTATGCTAGAGAAATTAAAATAGTTCAGTCTTCTATATTAGGTTCGATTATTTTAAATATTTTATTAGTATTAGAAATATGTTTTCTTACTGGAGGCATTAAGTATAAGACTCAAAAATTTAATCAAACTGCTGCTCAGACTAGTTCGAGTTTGATGACCTTAGCTTGTATAAGCTTAATAATTCTTGCTATATTTAACTTTTCTTTAAGCAATGACAATAAAGAAACTTTATTATTATCTCGTAGAACTGCAATAATATTGTTATTAGTTTACATGCTTTATTTATTATTTTAATTAAAAACATATTCATATTTATATAATGAGGAACAATTTTTTACACAAGATGGGGAACAAGTTGAAGAGCCACAATTATCTCTTATATTTTCTATAATTTTTTTAATTATTATAACTGGTCTTATTTCTTTATCTTCTGAATTTTTAGTAAATTCATTTGAAGGAGTAGTAAAAACTCTTGGTTTTACAAAAACTTTCATTGGATTAATAATTTTGCCAATCGTTAGAAATACTGCTAAAGTATTATTTGAATTATTATATTTTATTTAATCACAATTATTATATTTTATTTAATCACTTTTATAATATAAAAATTTTTATAGCACGTCACTGCAGTTATCGCTACAAGAAAAGATAAAATGAATATAGCAATTAGTATAGCTGTTGGCTCTTCTATAGTAAGCTAAGTTAATTAAACTTTAGTTTTAATTTTCTTTCTCAAAAATTATAATTCTTTATTTGCTAGCAAGTTTCTTTACTTATTATGCCAATTTTGATAATATTGGGTTGGATTATCAATCAACAAATGAGTTTGTTGTTTAATTTCTTTGAAACTATTATATTGTTTATTTCAGTTCTAATTACCAATTATATTATTCAGATAACCATATTTTATCATATAAATTAGTTAATTTCTTGAGTTTTTTGACAAATTATCATTTCGTTTACTTAGAATAGAGAATCAAACTAGCTAGAAGGAGTAATATTGTTAGCAACTTATATAATAGTTGGTTGGGCCTATTATCTTTATAATTTTTAATTTTAATTTAGATTATTTTTTGACAAGCATCAAATTTACATTAAAAGCCAAAGATAACTTGTATTTAAGGAATATTTTGTATATGATTATATTTTTATTAATAATTAATCTAAACTAAAATATATAGGATTTTTGTAATTTTTGTTAAATTTCATCAAAAATAGATCTCGTTTAAAGTAACAAACAAAAGAATGATATAAATGCTTAATTATATGACCTTAAACTACCTATATTAATCTTGTAGATTATATATTTATGGTCTAGATGCTGAAAAAAACCAAGTTGCCAATTTTTTATAAATCTTTTTTTGAGCTTAACAATCAAAAACTGTTTCTTAATACATAAAATTTAGAAATTTAATCTTTTAAAACTCATGAATTAAGTTATTCAAGAAAATCTAAAGGCATCGACATTTAATATATCTACTTTCAGGCTTTTATTAAGCAAGTGCAATTTTGGTTAATGTTTTCTATATATTGAATAAAAAATTTCAAATTAAAATGATTTATAAAATTAATCAGTATTAAGAATCTGCATTAAAAATTGAGTTTATACTTTAATTAATTGATTACTAATAGGTCAAATTATAGTTCTTGAATAAAAGAATTATTTATTTGTAAGTTTCAAAAGTTAACTGAAAAGATTTATAATAAAATTTATATTTTAAATTTAAAATTATAAAATATTATCAAAGGCATTACAGCATTATAGTAATAGATTTTTTATATAAAAAAATGAGAGTCCACTTAAATACATATTTCTTAACAAAAATTGGTTTTAATAAAGAACTTTGTAAAGATATTGAGAAATAAAAAAAGATAAGACTCTGATATTCAATACAAATAATAAAGAAAGCTTAATATTCAGACACTAAAGCAAATTATTGTTTATTATTTTTGTTTTATTATATATCTAATTTGACCAAAAGTATATACCAATATATTATGGTAGTATTTTTAAAAACATTTTTATTAACTTGGTTAAATACAATCTTTTTTTGTTGCAAAATAATACAAATTAGTAAAATCTAATACTGTATCAAATTTTAAGAATTAAAAACTCAATATAAAATTGAATAAAACTACCTTAATATAGTAATATTTTTTAATTGAATATACAAGCTTTGATTTCCTTTTCTATTTACTTTTTCTAGATTTCATTTGTGCTATACTTTAGTTTTGACTGAGTTAACAATTAATATTTATTACAGAATAAATTTCTTATTCATTACTCTCATGAATGTTACTTAGAGACATGCAACTTTAAGAGAACTAATAATTAATTTAGTGAAGACTTTCAATAACAAAGATTATAGTTCACACTCAGATATATAATTATTAGCTCTAAATTGTATGTCTAAATAATGCTCTTGGGCATAAATACAGTATTGTAATTATATTCTTATCATTTAATCAACTAAGCTATACTGTAATTTGCGTAAAAAATATAAATATATTGTACTATTCATATTTATTGAATTCAAATTCAAATCAACTAAGCTATACTGTAATTTGTATAAAAAATATAAATATATTGTACTATTTGTATTTATTAAATTCAAATTCAAATATCACTAACATAATAAAAAAATTTGATCATAATTTAATATATTGTTTCTTAAATTATAAATATTAATTCAAAAACAATTATTATTGAAAATATTAGGAAAAAGTTTTTAGAGAAAATATATATTATAAAGTTATAATTAGTATAAATGAAATTTTTTATTTTTTTCTTTTTGTTTAGCTTTTTTCTTTTTCTTTTCGTTTCTTTTACTTTTTTTTTTCTTTCTTTATTTTTATTCTTTTTACTTTATTTTTACATTTTTTTTATTTTTTCTATTTTTTATTTTTTTTCTAATTTTTTTTTCTTTTTTATAATAAAACTATAAAGTTTTTTAAAAAATATTTTTTCACTGTTTCAAAGAAAGCCTCAATCGCCCAAAATCTATTCCTTTCAAAGGAATCATAAAACAATAAATTATGTTATTAGAAATATTATTGATCAACAAACATTAGAAAAAATTAATAAAATAGTTGTCTTACCTCTTCATTAGCTTATTGCACCAAGTAAAAATCGAAGAGGACACCAAATTTCAAAGCCTCAAAATAGGTTTGTATTATACAAAAAAAACTTAAGTGCAGCAATTAATAAAACAAATAATGCAACAAACAATCTCACAATTAATAAAATGAATGATACAACAAACAATTTTAAATTTATTTCAAAAGAAGCAGCCAAAAATTGGTTAAAAGAAAGTAATGAGGTTAAGCAACTTTATAAATTATTAGCTGATTGTGCAAAGCAAGTTCATAATATAGTGTATCCTCATTACAGTTATAAACCAAAGCAGAAAAAATTTAAACATTATTTTAAAGTACTAAAATCATCACTTGCATTCCAGGACATATCTTGGGCATGTTCTTTTTCAAAAAACCTAGATACACAAAAAAAAATCATATACACCCCCAATCTTGCCCCTCTGATTATAGAAGTTAATAGAAATTTTACAGAATATGATAAAAAAGTGTGGAGATAGTTAATGACTTAAACAGAGTATAAGTCTATTTTCTCATATTGATGGTTCTAATTAATTTTTTAAATTTTAATCAGTTAAAACTATATAATTTAATAAATATAATAAATATGCTAGAAAATTTTAAAAATACTTCATCTATAATACAAAGTATACACTGAGTAAAAGAAAAAACAACACTTTTAGTTTGTTTTATTAGTTATAAATTCTTCATAATTATTTAATCCTTAATCGTTTAACTAATCTAGCTGCTGTATTAATATCTGTTAGATATATTGATATCTGTAGATAATAAATTTGATGCATACTATATTCGCTAAAAGCGGTAGCATTATGCTCATCCACATGAACATGGCTATTAGTATCATAAGCTGCAATATTACTAATGCTAGCACTGGTATAAGACATTGTTTGTTGTGAGATGCTTGCATTACCTTCAAGCCCTTGTGCTAGAAGGTAATATTGTTCTATAGTTGTATGAGTATAACAGAGATGGTCGATATAGCATACTCAGCATACTACAATAAATACTCAAAGATCTTTTGTTATGACATGGTTCAGTTTCAACAGCACTGAAGTCTAAAGCCCAGTATGACCCTCTACCTAAATCTTTTGATGTAGAACACGAACAAATCTTTTATTTAAAGACAAATTATGTCTAATTGAATTCTATAAAATTTTAAAATTTTTATTTATTAGTATTCGTAACAAATAGAATAGTATATAAAGTTACAGTACATTAATTTTAATAATAAAAAACATATACTTTTCAGCCAGCACTAGTGGTCTTATAATAAGAATAATTCTCTATAATCCAATTATAAATTTCATTTAATGTAAGTTTTTATTAGAAGAATTTTTAATTGCATAATTAATCAAAGTTGCATAAGTATATAGTGATTTTCCAGATACGAGATCTTGAGGATTTTTTATTGGTGATATGATCGTAGTTGTAGCCGAAGATTTTCTATTAGCAAAAGTATCTACTGATGTAGCAACTCCCAATGACACATTTAAAGATGTTTTTGTCTTGATTGACCAAATTTGGATTTAAAAAAAAATTAATTTTTATTGGCTGATTAGCCGATATTTATTTATATTCTTGATTGACCAAATTTGGAATTAAAAAAAAATAATTATTGGTCAAATCAAATTTTGTTTGTTTATATTCTAAATTGGCCAAATTTAGAATTAATTCTTACAAGACCAATTTATTAAATTTTGTAAGTTAATATTTAAAATCTTTATATACATTATTGTAAATTGATTTCATTACATAATTATTTAACTCAATTCTTATAATTATTATCTTAATGACCTGAAAAAAAATAATATAATATTTTATTATATTTTATATTTATGATTGCGATTTTTCTACAAGTCATTCAACTCCTGTTATATAGTACTTTTATTGGATTGATTCTATATGTATATAGCATTTAAATTAAAATGTTGCTAATTATTAAGTTGTTACTTTTTTGCCAGTTCAAAAATCTTATTTGGTATAAGGTCATAATCATTTCTATGTGATATTATTGTTAT